AAGAAGAGGAGGAGGAGGAGGAGGAGGAGGAGGAGGAGGAGGGGAAAGAAAGAAAGAAAGAAAGAAAGAAAGAAAGAATAAAGAAAAATGGATCTGCTTGGCTGAAATGCAAATACCTCCAGGGTCATCAGTTCTTGAAATCAAAATATGTGCTCAGGGTCAGAAACTCTGCTCAAAACTGCTCTGCTTATCAGCTTCACATCGGCCCGTCTTATGCACACGAGACCATGCTCTAACCACTCAGAGTGAGGCACAGGACCCCTCTGCATTAGGAGTAGAAACCTAACTGGACACCCACTGATATGCTTGCACCCCTTCTGCAGAAGTGAAACCTTTTGCCTTGCTGGTCATTTTCTTTGCCTAGGTGGTCATTTTCTTAGGACCTAGACCCATTTCTAACACATCTTATTCCTGATTGCACCCCAGAATGTAGAACCCCCAAGGGCACTTGTTAGATGTCCAGTTCACACTAGTGAGCAGACAAGTTCAGGTTCCCATTTACATGTCGAGAGGACATTCAGGGCCATGTCAATGAGCCTTGTCATGTGTCCCTAGAGACCTTCTTGACAAGCTGGGTCTGATTGCAGGGGACAGACATGAGAGCCCACCACAGATCATCCCAGAACCATGCTGTAATGGGTCCACAGTGTCCATACTTGGAACTCTGAGCTCAGTCATCGCTCAGATGCCTCTATTGTCATTGGGTTGGTCTGAGGAAATTTGGGGGAGCCTAGGTGACAGACTCTCAGGAGAGCCTGGCTTGAGGAGGAAGTCAAACCCTGAGAATCTAGGACTGGCATTGTTTATCCAAGATGTTTATCCTGCTTGTGACAGATGTGTCCCCCAAATAACACCTCTAAAGCACAAGGATTTAGGCACTAGAAAGGCTCTGTCCAGGAGACAGCCTATAGAGAATTGTGTGGATCTTCAGGACAACAGGCTCCTCTGAGAAAGGAGCACATACCCCTGCCAGATGAGCCACCTGTCCCATCCCAGCACCACAGCTGATTTCATGAGTTTTTGGTTTGAATGACAGCAGCTGTAGACTGACTCTTACAATCTCGCACGGATGGGCTCAGGAGGTTTGGGGCAAGGAGCAAGAGAACATGGTAAATCCAAGGTGAGACTTTTCTCCCAAGAGGCCCTCACCTGCTTAAAGATAGCTGGGTCTGTCCCCACTGCAGGGGACAGACAGAGGAGCCTACACCAGATCATCCTAGAACCATGTATCTGGGAGGTCTTTCCAGGCAGTAAAAGCTGGGTCCCCAGGACAGGGACAGGTCAAGAGCTCTAGGGCAGGGGGCTGGGAACTTGTTAGAAACTAACTCAGTTGATCTCAAGTCTGTAAGCCACTGTCAGAACTAACTTTTAGGGATGAGGAAAAAGGCACAACAGGCAGGCAGCACACCCTCCCTCTTCCTCAAAGGGACTCCGACCCCAGCCCCCCTCCCTAGAGTACAGCCACCTCTAGAAACAGCTTGAGTGGGACTGGCTGTAGTAAGAATGAATGTCAGGAGTCCTGACAGACGATTGTCAGACAAGGCATTTTTCTCCTGCCCAGGACAGACGTTTCCAATGCGGCACTTTTGCGCCCTTGGCCGGACTGATGGCGCCCCCTGGTGGCAAAGTCACCGCAAGGCCCCACCCACCCTGCAGGTTGGTCCCCAAATGCTTGGCATTTAGGTGGGGAAACCAAGTCTCAGAGAAGTGCTGCTGCTGGGTCGATGGTCTGAGGGTGAGCGGCCTTCCCAGTGCCTTCCAGGCTCCCCACCCGGGTCCTCGTCAGGCCACTTACCCGTACGTGGTGTTAAGGGTCCCGCCAAGCAGGGAGCCGAAGATGACTCCGATGCCGAAGCAGAGACCCAGTCGGCCTAGGGCCGCGGGCCGTTCTGCGGGCGCCGTCAGATCTGTGATGACCATCTGGGCAGCTGTGGGTGGGAGGGGGCTGAACTGGTCCCGACCCCTCCTCGTGGAGAGCCCACCCAGGGGTCCAGGCCACTCCCCAAGCTCCTTCAACTAGGCCAAGCCTCGCAGCCCCTCTATCCAGACAGTATCCCCCACAGCCCCTTACACAGCTTCCTCTCCACTCTATATGGCCTGCCCCAGACCACGCACCATCTCTCCATTTGGAGGCCACCACTCTTGTCACTTGCCACCTGTCCCCTACCTGAAGCCACGCCCTCATCTCTCTCCTCTACCCTCTTCCAGCCAGGCTTACCCACCCGTCTCTACCTGGAAGAGTGTGCATGAGTGCTGCAGGTATGCGCGAGGCGAAGAGCAGGAAGACACCAGGTAGGGCTGGGCTACAGGAGGCCACCAGGAGCAGGTATAGAGTGGAGGCTGCCACGAAGGAGAGTGAAAGTGCCGCCCGTGCCCCATACTGGTCTGCAAACCTGGGGCATCAGGGCGAGTCAGTTCCCAGAAGGTAGGGCCCTTCCCTCGTGCTCCACTTGGGGCTGCTGGGAGGCTGGTGAAGGGGCACCCAGGACATGTGTGGGTATACGGGCTTCTACCTAGGAAGTTGTCTACAGGCCCACCAGCTGAAGTTTGGGGTGTCACTAATATGGCACCAAGGATGCTTGAAAGCAGACCAAGGCCTGGACCTCTCCTGCACCCATTGTACAGGGATGCTGGGGACCAGATTCTGAGGGGTGGTCATAGGTCTTGTGGGTTCTGCATCCCTCACACACCATACCTGCCAAACACAGGCCCACCCAGCAGCTGAAGCACACCAAAGGTTGTCTGAACGTAGCCAAAGACCACAGAATCTAGGCCCAGTGTCCGAGACAGATACTGAAACACAACAAGGGTCTGTAGTTAGGCCACCTCAGACAGGTAGGGGTGCGAGGGAGCAGAGGGCAGTGTCATGGGAGAGGAGGCCTTCCCTGGGGACCCTCTCCCTCCTCTCTCGGGTGGACCCTGTAGGAGTCTCTAGCCACCCCCTCTGCAGGACACACTTCAAGTGGGCCACAGAGAGACACCCAGTCAATATTTTGTCTTCAAAGCTCTATAACATTGTCCTGGTCAGCAAGCAACTTCCCCAAGCCCCCGAATAACCTCTGAGATGTGGCCCATTGTCCAGAAAGACAGTCTGCTCTGTGAGTTCCTTAGGACTCATTCTGTCTTGGGGGCTGACCATCTGATAGAAGGGAGGTGGCAGCATCCCTATAGAGGACCCAAGCAGTCCTGGGACCCCAGGATCTTATCCTCCCCACCTCAGCTGCACCCCACCTGAGCCACTGTCTCCCTCTAGACTTCTGCCTCCTCCCTCCATCTTCTTGGTCCACTGTCTTATTTGTCTTCAGTCTATAGGCATCTGTCCCAAGGATAACACTCCTTAAGCTCCCCTCTGTTCTCTTGAAGCCTTCCTGGGGGCCCGATTACAACAATGGCAGTCTGTTAGGACTCTTCTTCCTAGTGCCTTCCCCTCCAGTCCTCAGATCCTTGGGTCCTGGGCCAGGTGCTCCAGGTCTCTCCCATCTCGCCTGAAGCAGTTGCTTTTCGTCCTCCTCCCTCCAGCAGTTAGCTCAGGGAAGCTCCAGCAGGCCCCTCTATTATTGGCACCTGCCTCAGTGGCTTGCTTCTTCCTCCTTGACCCTGTGCTCTAGATTCTCCTGGATCTCACAACTCATCAGTAGTCTCTACCAGCCTCCTTTCACACTTGGAGAGCTTGCTGGAGACACAGCCACCATGTAGAGCCCTATACCTCAGTCCCACTGCCAGCATGTCCTTCATCTACTCTGTACCATGTCTAAAATCATCTCCAGTGCAGCATGGCAAGAACCAGACACCTGTCCTCCTTAATACCAACTGTTGTTTCTTTGATTTTATTTGATGTGCATGGCTGTTTTTGCCTGCATATAGTCTATGCATCATGTACATGTAGGGCCCACAGAGGAAATCATATTCCCTGGAACAACAGGTGCAGGTGGTTGTGAGCCTCCATGTGGGTCCTTTGGGAGAGCAGTCAGTGCTCTTAGCCATGGAGCCCCCTAATATTGCTTCTTCATCTCAGGCAGCAGCATCTCTGTCCTCCCAGGATTGGGTCCAAAGTCCCAGTGTCATTCCTCAACTCCTTTCTCTCACCCTCACATGCAAATGATCCACTAGCAATATATCTGCCCCCTTTCCAGCTCTCCACACTTCTCCCTAACCATTCTGGAATCTCTTCGGCACCTGATGGGTATGGTTCTGGGACCTCATTGCCTCTTTCTAGCTGCAGGCTCAGCACCACCTTAGGTGCCTTTGCACTGGCAATGCGTCTCTGGCTGCCTTTCACCCCTTTGTTTTTATGGTGCCTTCTAAGCCAAATTTTCTGACTCCAAATCTGCCACATGGCCCCAGACTCTCGATGCCCTCACCCTTCCTCAGCATTTCTTCTTTTACCGCACAGTGTAACTATTACACCATCACCACTGAAACACTGTCAGCCACCAGCTCTGAGGGCCAGCTGTCTGGTCCTTTGTGCTCTGCTGTGTCACAGTGTCTGCTCACAGGGATAGGCTGGCCAATCAGAGCCTCTCTCTGGGAGCCACTGCAGGTCCCTGCAGGTTGTTCTGAGGCTGAAATATATTCTCCTCCCTGTGCCAACCCTCCTTTTATGAGGAGAAAGGTAAGGCTCCTGAATTTCAGGAGGGAGGCTTGGAGTGGGGACCCTGGCTATCTGTGAGCCAGCAGAGCTCAATTTAGGAGAGGTGATGGAGGGTGGGGTCCCGAGATGAAAGTGTCTGCCACTCCCAGAATGACCACAAAGGTCAGGGCTGCCTTTAACCCAGATCCACAGCTGCAGGCAGGGCCAACTCTGCTCCAGGAAGCAGAGGAGTGGAGGAGGGCCAGAACAACCAGGACTCAGACTTCACTTCTTGGTCATATATAACTCTGTTCTCTGTGTCCCTCTGTTCTCTGAACCTTGGACATTAGGATATGATGTGAGCAGGGTTCTGGCTTCAATCAAAATTCCTGTGTTCCTGGCATCTCAGTTCTGCATAGCCTGGCCTGCTGACCTTACTGAGGACCAGGTCCATATGCTGAGTGGGGCCCAATCCTAGCAAAGAGCCAACCTCAACCCAATGCTCCAGCCTGCCTGGCCTTGAGAATCTCCAAAGGAGCACTGAAAGGTGGTCTGTGGCCAATGTCATGACCCCACCCAGGCTGGGCAGAAAAAGGGGATGGATAGTATCTGAGTTCCCCCAGATACTGATGCCCATACACCATGGAACCCTGTGGGCCAGCTCCATACAGATTCGTTGAGTGACTAACCAATAGTGAAAAGTGGGAATGAACCAAAGGTTGTAGGCAGACACCCTATAGCCAATGGTGACTATTCTGCCCCACCATGCCCTAATTGAGGTAGATTCAGAAAGGCTGTGGGATCAAGTCTCTATCCTCATGTTTTGGTGGGTAGGAGAGAAACCAATGGAATATGTAACGTGGAATGGGGCATAAAGAAAACAGAGGGGATGCCTTAGCAGGATGAAGGGATGAACAGACACAAAGGTCAGAAAAGACTGGGACTGCATACAGCCCGTTGAGACAGGAGCTGAGCAGGTGTTGGGCATAGGCGCCCAGGGGAAGAACAGGGACAGGGGGCAACAAGTGAGGGTGGTTACAGGGGGAGGGTACTGCAGAGAGGGCAGCTCACAGGTTGGGAGTGTAAAGGGGTTCAGTTCCTAGGATCCTTAACTTATCCAGCAGCAGGGGTCCAGCAGCATCAAGCCCCACCTTGCTCCTTGTCATTGCCCAATAGGAAGGCGGAGCGGGGCCTCTGGTGTGGGGTGTGGGTGTTACTCACTGGTAAAATGGAGAATTGCATGAAGAGACAAGTTAGCTCCAAGGCAGCCAGCACATAGGTGAGTATGATGATCCCTTGCCGGCGCAGAGCACCCATGCTGCCAGGGAGCTGGCCAGACATCCGGGCAGGTGGTTATCTGGAGCCCTGGAGGGACTTCAGCCAGAGCAGAGCAAACCTTGCAGCGGGCAAGGGCAAAAGTCCTGTTGATTCTGGCTGTGTGCTGACTCACCAGGTTGGAAGGGGTGGCCTGTGCCTGCAGGAGAGGGAAAGGAGAGTGGTGGACTGTAGAGCTCACCAGGGCTCTCCAGTTACCTCGATCTTCAAGAATGGGTCAGGTACCCTCCCCATCTGCCAGCTCCTTGTCTAAGGCACAGTCTCCATCAAAGAGGAGACGGGCATCCCATACTTCAGGGGGACACCCTCATCTGAAAAGGGCATCTGTCCTCCACAGGAAGACTCCATGTCTTATTTCTAGAGGGAAATGCAGGCATGTATGATTTCTGGCTGTTGCTTTGGGTGGGTATGGGGCTGATGCAAGTCATTACGCAGGGGCCGTCTCGGCCCCATTGAACCTTCCTTCTTTTGGGACCTGCCTGGAGCTCTAGGGTCTTCTGGCGTTGCTGTGGATTAGGGACTGGGACAGCTCCCTCTTCAGGCTCCACCCTTGCAGGGCAGCTAAGCCTCACTTATAGTGGGGTGCTTTCCTGCCTCCCGACCTCTTCCACCGGTGAAAACCGGATTTCACGGCCAGGATGAGGCCCTTTCAAAGTTTTGCCTGACACCCCAGGACAGCCTTCACCCGAGAAGATGGCCCTGATACCTGGTGGGTATCTTGGGCTCTGGAAGCTCAACAGGTGACTTCGGGTACCTGTCTTCGCCGGGAGAGCGTGGGCTGCGTTCCTGGTGGGTGAGACCTCCCAGGTGTTTCCTGACACCTGCCCTTCCGCAGTGACCCGGGAAGGACCCGCCCCACAATAACCTGTGTCCTCCCACTTCTCCAGGGCTGGCCCACCGGCCTGGCAGCTCGCTCCACCCACCCAGGGTTCAGGGATAGCTGGCAAAGCAGCCTCTGAGCATTCACTGGCCAAACCAGACACGCCTCCTGAGGCCCCGCCCCATCACCCGCCCCAGCGGGGCTTAGGAGGTTCCAATTGCTGTGCATCAGAACCTACAGAAATGCCTCCTTTTCCCCATGTCACCCTGCCTGCCTTGTCCCTGCAGAGATGCCTGGTACATAGTAGCACATAGTGGCCCCCATGGTGCCGCGAGGGAACTCCCGGGAAGACACGGTTCTGATCTAGTTTGACCCAGGCCCATTACTATCCATGCTCATTCCTCTCCAGATAGGTTGATCATTGCTAGGAAATGAGACGCTCCTTCAACCTTTCCACCTTGAAGCCCAGTACGGGTCAGGTTATAGGCCTCAGCATCAAAATCAGCATCTCCTTTGCTGTGTGTTCGTTCACCCAGCTTAGCAGATCAGAAACGGGAGGAGTTGTGACAGGGTGGGCAGACATGGGCATCCAGGGAAGCTCAGTGAGAACATACCTCAAAACAGGCTGTTGGCCGGGCTGTGGGAGTTCGAACCGATGGATCAGGCCCAGGGCTCTGTTTCCAGGTGTGTGTGGTATGTTTGGGGTAGATTCCAGTGCAAGAAATGGGATGGGAGATGTGTTGGAAGTGTGGATCCCAGGTCCTCTGCCAAGAGCCTGTAGAAACCTACCACGGCTGCTTGAGGGTTGGAGGAGGAGACCCAGTCAGTCAGGGCTTCCAGGAAGGATAAGAACAAGACTGATATGGAAAGGAGAGAACTTGGGGGTCAGGAGAAGGGAGGAATAGGCCTGTCAGGTCAGCCCCCTGATTAGGTTAATTCTTCCCCAGTGGGCATATGACATTTTTACTGTTCCAGAGTCCTTGGGGCAGAGCTTGGTGAGTAAGTAAGTCTGCCTCGGGACAATTGGGGAGAGGCCAAGGATAAGCAAGGAGGGGCAGGCTACTCACCCACAAACAGAGCTTGCAGTTTTGGGGAAAAGGCGAGTGGAATGATCCTAGCTTTTGTACTTGTTCTTAACAGGCTCCAGAGGGGCGGGGCATTTCCTGGTTGTAAGGGAGTGTGGGAAAATTGCCCTTCTGGCTAGAGAGGAACAGGGAACCCTAGAACCTGTGATCTCCTTCAGAAGAGGAAGTAGCTTTCTCCCAGGGCCAGTATTACTCATGTGGCCACTGTTCTGCCAAGGAGACCAATCCAGACAGCTGCAGGAAGGGCTGGTTCCTGTCTGGGGTAGGGCTGGGAGGCAGCTTTTCAGAAGAGGAGGTGACTACTCATCTAGGGCCTAAGGAGAAACAGATGTACCAGGTGGAGGACCGGGTAAGGCAGGGGGAACAGTATGGCAGGGCTCAGAGGCAAGTGCAGGCAACTGAGAACACCTGATGGGCTTGGACTTAAGGGGTCCAGTGGGCTTAGGGGAAGGAATAGAGGTACAGGAATGTGGCCACATGTGCCGAGTAAGTCACTGTGACTGCTGTGTGCTGGGGCTCAGGATCCACCAGAGCTTCCCTGAGCCCAGAGATACTGCCTCTGTGATTTCCTGGGCTTAATGATGTGGCCCTGAAGCAGGAATCTCCCATAACCATTGAGCACCTACTGTGTGCAGGCTGTATCTGTTTAAAGGGAGAGACTATCATTTATTCTTTGGCAGTTTCATACATAGATACTATGTATCTTGATCATATGCACACCTAACTCTCTCTTCCCATTCTCCCTCTCAGAACCTCCAACACATATCCCTCTTTCATAGTCTCTCTCTTTCCTTACTGAGTCCAGCTAGTGCCACCTGCTGAACCTTTGACTGGTTCAGTTATCTTGATCTTGCGCAGGTAGCCATGGCTGCACTGAGTTCATGGTCACAATACTATATCGTGTCCAAAAGACAGCATTTCCCAGCACTTCTGCCCATACTCTGGCTCTTACATTCTTTCTGTCCCTTATTCCTTGATGTCCCCTGAGCCTCGGAGATCAGGTTGGTACAGATGTCCCATTCAGAGCTGAGCTCTCAACAATCACTTATTCTCAGCACTGTGAGTTATAAGTCTCATTGATTGCTGCTCACTACGAGAGAGGACTCTCTGGCTAAGGTTAAGAACAGCATTGACTTATGCATATAAACAAACATTTAGAAGGCAGTTTGATAACATTCACTTAGCAAGACAACAGTAGTAGGGCCTGTGGCCACTCAAGCCTTGTGCTTTTGACTGAGTTTACCAGGGATGAATTCACTCCAACGGAGCAAGTCCTAGCTAAGAGTGGATGGTTATTCCCACAGCATTCAAGCCACTATTGCACCAGTGGACACATTTTGCTTGGTGGGTTGGTATTGTAGCCTGCAGGATTAGACCATGGGTTAATCCTGCTGGGTTAGACCATGGATGGTTTCTCTCTCCCTGTGGCCTGCAAAGCAACTTCCAATACTATGAAAGCTAGCCAGCAGGAGGAAGCATAAAGGGTAGTTCCAGCTTCATTTCTCTATGTCCTGCAATCAAAATATGTTCAACAATGGGCCTGTGTCCTTTTAGTGTGTGTATATTCATGTGTGTAAGTTCCTGTAAAGGCCAGCGATCAATATCAGGTGTTATTTATTACACAGCAGCTGTCCACTGTCACCGGGACCACAGGACTTACCAGTCTCTGCCCACCTCCACAGCACTGGCATATCAAGCTGTTTCCAGGAAATCACTTTCCTCTGCATCCTTTATTCGATTGTTTACAGTTCATGTGTTGAGGGAGACAGATAACATCTCAGCTGTGACCATGTGTGTATTATTTACTTTTTTGTTGCTTTGATAAAGCACCATGAACAAGGCGACTTACAGAAGAAAGAGGTTATTTGGGTTTATGCTTTCAGAGGGATAAGAGTCCATGATGGCCGAGGAGAGTCATGGCAGCTGGAGCTGGAAGCTGAGAGTGCACATTTTGAATGCCAAGTAGGAAGCAGAGGAACAAACTTGAAATGGTACAAGTCTTTAAATGCTCCAAGCCTGCCCCATGACATGCTTCTCCAACAAGGCCACATCTCCTAAGCCTTTCTAAAACAGTACCATCAACTGGGAACTAAGACTATGGGGGACATCTCATTGAAACCACCACTTTGTGCCCCCCCCCCACGTAGGCTTTGTGGTCATATCATATGCAAAATGCACTTCATCTAGCTTCAAAAGCCCCACAGTCTCAACACTGTTTTGAAGTTCAAAGTGTCTTCTGAGACTCAAGTCCAGCTCTTAACTGTAACCCTCTGCAAAAAAAAAAAAAAAAAACTCCCAAAAAACAAACAACAACAACAACAACAAAACAACTAAATAACATATTTGCAACACACAATGACACAGAAAATACATTATCATTCCAAAAGGGAGGAATGGGGGCACAGTGAGGAAATGGTGTGAATTTTGGGCCAAATCGAGATCAAAACCTAGCAAGGTGAACTCTAAAATGTGTAACTCCATGTCTCATGTCAGAGGGCTCAGAGGGCTCCATTTTTTTTAGATTTGCTGCCTGCAACAGACTTTTTTTTTCTCTTGGCTGTTTCTGCTCCCTGTATGCAGTTCTCCCTGACAGATATACCATGGCTCTGGCATTTCCAACATCTTGGGGTTTTCAGTGTAACTCAAGCTTCATTTCCATCATCTCACAAAATGACCTCTCAGGGCTTCTTGCCTTCTTGGGGCTTTCAGGCAGGGACTCTCCTGCCACACATCGCCTGGCCTTGGTGACATTCTGAAACTATGGAGAAAGGTTCCATGACCCTTTCTCTTTCATGACATGGGCAGCATTGCAAAGTTTGGCTGCCAGCTTGGGGTAGATCCTTGCCCCTTTAAAATACATTAGTGGCAGCTTTGATTGCAGTCATTTTTCCAGGAACAGAAAATGCCTTATGCTCTCTTTCACAAACTGGAAGCTTAGCTTTATCCTGGTGCATATCAGGCCTCTCTGTAAGGGTGCTGATCTCCACTCTAGCTTTCCTCCAGCACCAGCCTCATCTGATCCGGCCAGTGTTCTTTACCTCTTTAAACTGCACAATTTGTATTTCTTTCTGCCCTGCTTGCTCTTTTTTCACTGTAGACCTTCATAAGAGTAATTATTAGTAAACACTCAACAGAGTTAATAGTAGGCTGTCTTGAGATCACTTCTGTCAATGAAATTAGCCTTTAAACAGCCTTGGGCAAGCTCTTAGGACAAGGACAGAAAACAAATGCATTCTTTTGGCCAGACTGTCTCAGGAACAGTCTCTAGCCTAGTTTCCAATATTATTCCCTTCTGAAATTTCTTGAGTTGGGACTCTACAATCTGCATTTCTCTTGGCCCTAGTGTCTTCCAGGCTACTCAGATGGCTCATTAAGCTCTGTTTATCACATTCAGTTGCTTTTTAATCCCAATGTTTTTCACATTCTTCCAAAATCCTAGAATGATTAGGCTTGTCACATCAATACCCTACTCTTGGTACCAACTTCTATATCAGTTACTTTTCTAAGCTGGGATAAAACACCACAAGGAAGACAACTTATAAAAGGAAGAAGTCATTTGGATTTATATTTCCAGAGGGATATGAGTCCATGTTCTCAGAACGAGGCATGGTGGGTGGAGCTGGAACCTGAGAACTCACATCTAAAATTGCAAACAGGAAGCAGAGAAAGTGCATTCAAAATGGTGTGAGCCTTTAAACTCTGCAAGCTTGCCTCCAGTGACACAGCTCCTCAAAAGCCTCCTAAGCTTCCCCCAAACAGCATCACCAGCTAGGGACCCAAGTAGCCAAATGCCTGAGACTACGGGGACATCTCATTTAAACCACCACAACATGGAAGCCATGCTCTGACTGGCAGCATTGGGCTTCTGATCTGGCATGCTGTAGGCTTGCAGAGGGATAGCCTGGCTGAGGAGCCACTGAGGAGTTGAGAGACAGCCAGTACAGGCAGCTTCTTTCATGGTTCAGCCAGCAGGGGATAAAACTGTGGGTTTTAGGTCTGACAGGAGCCATGAAAGCTACACATCTAAGGAGAGAATAGCTGATTTGAGACATTGCATAGCAATCTGGAGAGCACTAAACCCACCATGAGCTCTGCTGCATGGAGCTGCCCTCAGTTGAGCAGAACAATATTTTTTTGCTTTTGGTTTTTCCAGACAGGGTTTCTCTGTGTAACAGTCCTGACTATCCTGGAACTCACTTTGTAGACCAGGCTGGCCTCAAACTCACAGAGATTTCTCTGCTTCTGCCTCCCAAGTGCGGGGATTAAATGTGTGCTGCTGCGGCCACCACCACCACCTGGCTCAGAACAGGATTTTTACAGAAGGATGAGGGCTCCAGACTTGTCAGCAGAGGGAACTGTGAGCAGACAGGTAACAAGGGAATGGCCAGTGTGGGGTTGTGCCTGAGTCTGCTTATGACCGCTGGGCCAGCACCCAGGTTCTTGTGTGCTATTAGGTGTGTCCTCTGCCTCCTGCGGCCTGACATGAGCATTTCCCAGTGTAGCCAACAGTTCAGTGTAGACAATTCATTTGAAAAGTTTTGGAATCACCTCTGTGGCACTTCTTTGGGAATAACAGGGCTTTGACTGGGGCTGGGGACAGAGAAAGGGACAGGGTTCAATGTAGTTGTAACAGCCCTGCTCAGGCTCTAGCGGTCTCAAGCCTGTCCCAGGTCCCTTCTCTTCCAAAGTGAGTGAAGTTTCAGACCTCGGCCAGCAGGCGGCGCCCAGGTCTACAGCTCTCTGTCCTGCTCCCAGAAAGCTGCAGCATCTCAGGTTGCATCTATGGGTGTTGACGCCAGGAAACAGCCTGTGGACTGACTCGAGGCATCAGAGCGTGGGATCCAGGCAGGGCAGACAGTTTCCCATCATCCGCTAAGCTCCACTGTGGGCCTGTTCCCTGGGAGTTTATACAGTTCAGGCTGATAGTGAAGACTGATGAAGGCTTTCCCAGAAGTCTATAAAAGTGTCCACTGAGATTCTAAGTGAGAATGTGCAATGTCCAGAGCCTGGTCCCATTTCTCCAACCGAGGCCAGATGTCCAGAGATTAGGGTAGGAGCTGGTGAAGCCCATAGTTGGCTTGGGGATTCTTGACTTGATTGGAATGGAGGGCCCTCTCCTCTCTGATCTC